ATACCCGTCTTCAGTCTGCAATTTGCAGATAGATTTTCAAGATTTCAGGATAAAAATTACACAATCTGCAATTTGAAGAATGAAAAAAAAATATATGGTCCTCACAACTTCATATTCCCTTTGTTTGACCCGCCCGGCGCCCAAATCCCGCTGCGATTCAAGCCGCGGCGGCTTCCCGAGCCATGCAAATAAACCTAGTCCTGACGCCACAGCCTCCGATTTACACCGAGCCAGCCCCGAGCGCATGCCGACAGCGAGGGATGTGGCTCAGATTTCCGACGATTTCCTTATTTAGATCATTCGGAAGACTTCGGGTAGCAAACAAAATGGCCGCCATGCACATGATTTTATACTAGTAGCTTCGCTTCTCAACCGAAATGAGGAAGTTTAACCTCATTTGCAGACTTTAGCGGCCATGGAGTTGATTTGGGGAAGTGCTGAGACGCGATTTCGCTACGGCATATGGGATTTTGCCGCGGAGGGAGTTACGTACGCCGGCAAAAACTTGCTTCAGCGATCGGCTCCAGAAAATTTATCTTTATGCTGCCGCTCAAGTCTTCGAAGGTGGTTTAACGAAGTTTATATAAATAATAAAGCCACTTTGCGTAGATCGATCTCCGTTTTCTTGCGATGGTATGAAATTCAAGTACAGTATATTTTCAAACGTTTGATTATTTCTTTGTTCGTTGCCACATGTTGTTTATTTATCTTATTGTCATGTACAGTTACCAGCGTGAGTCTGAGTCGAGCCATTGTTCTTATGTGGCCGTTAGCACATGTTGTTTAAACAGACAGCAACATTGAAGAAAAGAACCGAGTTAACAGACATCGGCACGTTCCTTGAAGTCAGGTTTCCCGCCGTATTTAAATAAGAAATGTGTGGGCCCGCGGCGTTTTGAAAAGACGCGACGCGCTTTGGAAAGACCCCGCGCCGTGGCTTATTCAAATTCGCTACATTTTTTGCTAAGTTTAATGTCTTCACCCACGATTTTTGACCGTCAATGTTGACGGTAAGGACTTAAATTTTTACCGTCCGCGGGAAAAAATACCGTCAATTGCGGTAAAACGGGCGCTGGCTAAAGCCCTGGTTGAATGTCACGAGGTTTGTAAACTTAGATGTTGGGGACAAAGCCATAGAAGAGATTTTGAATAAAATTATATATATATATATTAACGTTACTTATAATTTAAGTTAAAATGTACTTTTGTGTCTCATTTTTTTATTCTGTTAAAAAGACTCTTAAAAGAGAGAAAACAGGTTATAAACTGTTATATACTTGATTTTTGTAATGTTTTAAACTTAAAGAGTTGAAATATAGAAGTGCATGTTCTCTCATTATATACAATGTTGATAAGAACTAGAACCATTTATATAACTTAGGTAAATTGAAATGCTAGGATGGGGAAAATGTTCGTAAAAACTGTAAGCCTGTAAGCGGCGAAAATGGTCAGCTTTTGCAGAAGCACTTGTTTAGTTACATGTATTTTCTTTGATGTACACTGAATAGATTAAAAATCCTACATTTAAAGAATGGCTGAATATGAATCAAAAACCCTCCCCTATTCCCAGATAATGACAGCTGATAGACTTACCAGAGCCAACAGTCCATGTAGAACATGAGGCTGGACTGAATGGTGGTCCAACAGTCGGTCACAGAAGAAGGCAGACAAGACACCAGCTACAAAAGAAGTAAAACAAATCAATTTCATAGCACTTGATTGCATAGTTTCCTTTTTATTCATCTATTAACTTATTCACCATAACAATGGACAGCATGTCAAAACAGGTGTTACCTTTTCAAAGTCGTCAGACGTTTGTGGTACCAATTTCATGAAAATGGCATTGGCCTATAAATTATGTGCATATAGTATACTGACCCTCTTTCTCAGTCAACCTGTTGGTAGGTGACCTGTGCAGTACCTCTGCCAGCAGCTGGGTGGCTCTTGCCCTGGTGGTGACCTCAGTGCTGGTGAGAGAGGACCTGTGGTTCAAAGATTGAGTTCAGAGTTCAACTTCAATCAGTGGTATTAATTTATGGATCATAAAGTAGAAGTAAATGGTGAAGAGCTGTGAAAAAACCTTTTCTTTAACCAAGGACGTTCAACACATGTGTTGAACATCCTTGCTTTAACTCTTGATACAGACCTCTATATTTTGTGCTTAAACTTTGGATCCCACAAAAGCTTCCATTCACTGCCCACCATATAGGGCTGTTTGTATGAATATAACACCAGAACCACACAACAGAAAGGATCAGGAACCGATGTTTGGGCATCCCAGGGAGGGATAAGCACACAACAAGCAGGGGATGATGCATACTGTTCCTCAATATACTTTCAAGTTTCAATTGTGATATCACTGTCACCCATATGTTGTCCTGTTTCGCAAAAGAAAAGTAATCTGCATTACTTCTTTGTGTTATCCTTATGAATTTCACACCATCCAAGGAACTTCCCCATAACCTTCTTGCACCACCCAACGTTGATTTAAATCATTTGGTGCTGACAATTTTTTAGTAATCCCACTGCTGACTTACCCCAGACTCTCCACCAACTGTAAGAGACTGTTTTCCCCGTCAAACACAGCTGGAAGGTACAAGCAAAATATGTGCATCGTTATCTTTCGTCATGACAAAAAATTCCACTAAGTCCTGCTAAAGATTCTAGAAACAACCATATTCTTTTTACTTTAAGTCTCGTGGGATGCCCCTCCCCCTTTGTCTCGCCTCTAATACCGCCACAGCAACACTGCCGTTCAAACGAGCTTTGTAAACGCCAAGTCTACTCAACTATTTTCAATCAGATTACAAACATTCGAGTTAACAATCACCAACCTTTTGCAATATTCTGCAAGGCGCTATCTTGCTGCCCTTGTACAAATTCCAAGACGCTTTCCTGCACGTTCCCACTGAGCGCTGCCATCTTGGACTACCGTCGACGGCTTCACAGCTCCCTCTAGCGAAATCTTCACGAACTGCTGCCAGATTCTGTCAATTTCCTCCCACCGCATGCAAGCGAAGTCAGAATGATTCGAGACATACTAACTTGTATTCAGGATTTAAATTGATTATAGTATTTTCATACAAATTAAATACAGGCAAAGCCTTATAAGTTGTAAATACATGTACCTCAATTTTCCTAGGACGACATGAGTTAAAGTTATGTTTATTTCTTTGAAAGTTTGAGTCATGTTTCGATGCGCTCTAAAGGTAAACCAGGAAGTGAGTCGTGGCTCGTGGCAGCAGGTCAAAACTTCCAGCATTTGGTCCACGTTTGTCCTTTTCTGTCGTCTACATACGTGGTCGATTCGTCCTGAACTAATGTGAGACTTTTGGATTCCCGCGATTGCAACATGTGTGTGAGTAAATCTTATCCAGTCCTGTTGTTTCGTTGCCTTTGCCCTTGATAGTTTGTCATATCAAGTTACGACGTCTTTAATACCATATGTTTCATCAAAATATTATCAACCAGTCTGTTGACAGGATGTTTTGTATGTTATGGATATGTGTGATTTTAGACTTGCTGGTGGGCACTCAAAAGTGTCTTCTCTCCACCAAATAAGCATTTCTTCAATTTCAAGACCTTATTTTCAATGTCAGGAATATGACATGTGTATTTGGATATAACGTTAAGTTATAGGCCACAGGCAACGTTTATCTCACTAAAATTACTTCAGGATATCCACAAGGCATTATAATGTTCTTCGTCCTAGGGTACAACGTGGAATGTTTTGTAATATTATGCTTTACTATTATAAATATTGTATTGTTTGCATTTCAGGCTAAACTGACGTTATGAAGCCTCCTGCTGTGACCAGTCGGGACCAGAAGTAAGATGGGTCCCCTCCTGTCACTGCCGCTGTGCTACGGGGCCCTGGTGCTGTTCACTGCCATCCTGCACAACGTGTTCCTCATCTACTATGTGGACGTCTTCGTGTCTGTCTACAAGATCGACAAGATGTCCTTCTGGATTGGAGAGGTACATATAACACTCCCTTTCCACTACAGGCTCTAACCACTGAGCGGCCGAGGGTTTGACAGATCTCTCAACAAATTTTACAGATAAAGCACATATTTTTACATTTTTTGTGTTTTTATGATTTTTGTTATACTTTCACATCAGGGTCACACAAATCCAATTTTGGTTGCTGTGCGGTTGCTCAGTGATCGTGGTCTAGTGAAAAGTCCTGAGGCCTAAAGAATTAAAATAACAGCTGTGCCCACCTGACACAAAGTATTACTTCAGATCTATATTTATTTATCACTACATGAGGAAGTAGAAATGTGGCAGCAACCCCGACAGGTTCTAGGCATCTGTGGCTTCATTCTTGAATTCATGACCAGACCACAGCTCATATCCTTGTTCTGCACGTTATTGTTTTGTATAGGTTGTGTTTACCTGGTACCCACAAATTAAAGAATCGTTACACCCTCCCCCAGTTGTTGTATGACCATTCCCTTGTCTGTAACAATGAGTCAGTGTTAGGCCTGGGCATTTTGTAAGCTGACACCATAAAATGGCTCCACAAGAACTCTTAATGGTCTTAGGTCAGACACAGTGTGGATTGAGATGGTTTCCAACTACAATGAATGAAGTAAATGACTTTTATTCATACAATAATGTTAAGGCACAGAAGCTTACATACATATCTTCTCCCCAACCTATATATTTTTAAAGTTTCTCTATGTCTTTTCAGACCGTGTTCCTGATCTGGAACTCCCTGAATGACCCCTTGTTTGGGTGGATGAGTGACAAGGCTTTTCTCCAGGCAGACAGGTAAGAAGCAAATGGAGGCCCTTTTAGTTCTCACAAGGAGGTTATAGGGGAGATAACCTCCTTAACCTCTGAAAACGGTTCAATGAAAGGGTACAAATACAATAATAGACACAAATTACCTACATATCTGGGCTACACTGGTGATTATTTACAGGCTACACTTGTTCTTTCATCCTCAGTCACTGCAATGAAAGCTTATGGATGCTACCTAAAATGTGTAAGACTTCAGACAACTTACCAAGTACATTGTACTGTTGATATAAATGTTCTGCCTGGATCTCTATCCCTTATTTTCACATTTTGGATGTCTTTACCTCTTCCAGCTCATCTGACCACGGATCTTCTCCCCAGATCGTGCTGAGGCGTTTCCGAGCCCTCTTCATCAACGGGCCGCTCTTCGCCCTGTCGTTTCTCACCTTCTGGGTGGCGTGGGCCATCCCAGCTGTCCAGTTTGTCGTGTGCCTCTGCCTGTACGATACATTCCTCACCATGGTGGACCTTCACCACAATGCCTTACTGGCCGACCTGGCCGTGTCGGACAAGGAGCGCACCAGACTCAACTCCTACTGTTCGGTGTTCAGTGCCTTTGGATCGCTCTCCGTCTTTCTCTCCTATGCAATATGGGACAAGGAGAACCTGGGGAACTTCCGTATCTTCTGTGCAATATTAGTGTGTATCTCTATAAGTGGATTTTTCCTATGTACCAATTGGATGAAGAGACAATTTATACGCAGGCATCATCACAAAGAGCAGGATCCACTGCACAGGTAGGTTTCCTAATACTATAATGGACCAAGAAGTTGTTAGTTTGAATCCTGCCTGACATGCATGCTACTGGAAAGGGTTGCAGTCCTTACGATGGGCGTTAAGCCAATTGGTCCACTCTTCATTGTAAATGTCAAAAAGAGCTTCAGAATTTCCTCAGTACAATGAACCTGTAAATATTCAATCTCTTTCACTAGTAATATCCACAAGTGTAGCACGGATGACTAAATTGTGTATTCCGTGTGTGATTCCAGCATTCTTGTGTCCAGTTCGACTGGCAGTGCAAGTGTCCAGCTGAGTGTCCGGGGTTACTTCAGACAGCTCATGGCTCACAGGAACTTCCTCTGGTTCACAGCCATGAATCTGGTGCAGGTCAGAACGTTTATCTGTTTGTTTTGCATAACCAATAAACTGCCTTAAGATGTAATGCACCAGTTTTGTACAGTAAGTACAAGATGCATAAGACCAGATTGTGAGGTTTGATCTACTCACACCAGAATGGACCCTATTCTTTTTGAGAAGCGTGGTGGGATCACCAAAATCTTTCGAAATGTCAAGGTTGGACCCTTTTATGTTGCAGGTTTTTCATTGTCACTTCAACAGCAACTTTTTCCCGCTGTTCCTGGAGAACCTGCTAGAGGGCATCCCACCATCAGTTTGCTCAGTGCTGCTGGGTAAGTAGCTTCAGTATGCAGTTTTCTCACCAGAGTTTTTTTGCAGAATATTGGTCAGATGCAAAAGGCCATTTTTTTTTAAAGATTTATGAAGGGTCACTGTGTTCTGTGAAAGAGTAGTCAGAAATGGTATGGAGAAATAACTGAGGGGAGTGCCTGCAAGGTTTTGTCCTATGTCACTGTGTACTCATGTACCATTCTATAGTACTAAATTCCAGTTCTATGTTTCAGGTATTTCCTTCATTTTTCCCCATATCAACAACCTGTACTTCCTGACCCTGTGTCGGAGGTATGGCACCTACGCCGTGATCCGGGGGCTGTTCCTGGTCAAGCTGGTCCTGAGCACGGCCATGATGATGGTGGGACCAGACTACACCTGGGTGCTCTGCTTCTTCATAGCCAGGTGAGCCCTTGTTAATGTGCTGGTCAGTGACTAATCAGTAGAACACAGCAGCCAAGTGTCCTGTCTTCTTGAGAAGCTAGTAATGACACGAGTCTTATAATGGCTAGGAGGACAGTCACTTTCACTGATATCTCTGACCATATTGTCCAGGAGCAAGTTCCATGTATTGACTGCTGCGTGTGTGAATGTCATGCCAGTTGAGCGTGTTCTTGAGCCTATCGAAATACCGGGGTAAGACAATAAAGACTGTGAGAGCATGTCTTGCCATGCTCTGCTAGGCCTACATGTATGTACAATGAGAACATTCTTCATTTGTCAATTGTAATGTTATACTAGTGTGCACATCCTTATGCCACGGTACTGTATCAGAGACTGAGCATGTAGAAGATTGCAATCCTTGACGTCTTCCTCTTCCGTAATAAAATAACCAGTGTTTTGTTTGTTTGTTGTCGTACACAGTAACAGGGTGTTTACGGAGGGCACCTGTCGCCTGCTGAACCTGGTAGTGAGTGATCTGGTGGATGAGGACTATGTACTGAACAACAGGAAACAGCCAGTCTCAGCCCTGGTGTTCGGTATGTCGGCCTTCCTGTCCAAACCTGGACAGACATTAGCACCACTCATGGGCACATGGATACTCTCTGTACAAACAGGTATGTTCCTGACAGTGTTTTGTTTGTTAATTTTTTTTCTAGCAGTGTTTTTGCCTCTATGTCAGGAGGTTTTTGCTTGTTGTCCCTAATTGTTTGAAAACAATGGAGTCACAGGACGTGAGGGGGAAATGATGTAACCGCAGGCTGCAAAGATGTCAGTAATACTATGAATAGGCATCAATTGTTTTCTTTACCACATGAAGTTAACAAGACCTACCCTACTAACTTTTTTCCAGGCCATGACATTTTCCAGGCAGGAAATGAGTTTGGTTCGATCCATGCTGATACCAGTCAGATGGACTCCAACACCTTCACCTCCCACCGACTGGGCTGCTTCCATCTCCTGGTGTATGTTCCTATTGGTAAATGTCCTTATTTTGTTGACTTCCCCTTTTAGTATAACTGTGCAGTGTCCATACACAAGCATTTAATCCTAGTGAGACCAACTTAAACCTAAGTACTGTAACAACTCTTTGGCAAATAAAATGTAGCATATGACCTACTTTTTCTTAAGTATCCGCCTTGAAATGTTGTTTGAGATTCCTTGCAATGAAATCTTATAGATGTAGACCAAAATATATGCAGAAGTTATTGAATGAGATTTTCAGTGTGTGTCATTGATCTGTTGTCTTCCACTTTTTCAAAAAAGAAGTGAAGACCAAAGTTAGAGTCGGAATTTAGAGTAGTTACATGTTCTTCATTGTTTACCTTTTTCATGCAAGAAATTTCAATGAAGTCATTTATTTCGTATATTACTGTTCTCCCCATGTTCCTGCAGCCTGTGCCCTGCTACAGCTCCTAGCCTGGTCCCAGTTCAGTCTCCGTGGCAGCAGGCTACGGTGGATCAAGTCCCAGCGACAGGGGGGCAGCACCTACAAGTTTGTGTAGCACATTCCGGGATTCACAACACACAATTCCATCCATGAAGAATAGGGGATGACACCAACTTCCAACCACTACCTTTGACCCATTGCTGACATCACAATTCCATAAGGACACATGTCCTGTGGTTTTGGTGTCTAAGTCTAGTGTTAAATACATGTACAGTTCAACTTTGGCCATATTATTTGATACTGTACATGTTTTAACTGGCCTGACCTTCATGAATGTGACTGGCATGATTGTGGTTGCCACAACTTCTACTGTGACATGATCATCCAAATGCTACTGTGGCTGTGTGTTTGTGTCAGCAGGGCTGAATAGACTAACTGCCTGTTAATCTTGTTGAGGAGGGACAGGACCACAGGAGAGAGCAGCACACACAGCAGGCACTGTGCCACTACTGGCTAATTTGAAACCAGGAACTGACACATTGATGGAAACACTGGTAGTCTGATTGCTAGCATTGCAAGGAGGGAGCATACCAAAGGAGAGAGCATACCAAAAGTCTACTTGTTTCAGAAATTTGGAAAACAGAAATTTGTTCTTGACAGTATCCGGTTTGATGCTGCTTGATGAGATTTTAAACATTCAAACTTCAGTAAGTAAAGTAAAGAACAGACAGTGAAATACTTTGTGTAATTCGAATGAGATAAAAAATGTGCCAACACCATAATATCATCACTCATAGTTCTGCTGGGTACGCTAAGACTGCCACATAAAAAGGAAGCAAGGTATGCAAACTTCATTCTTGAGAAGGTCCAATGACTGTTTCTTTTATTGTGGCAGCTTAGGCAGGCAGACAGAATTACAGGAGTAGTATAGGCATTGCTTATAGTTTTAAAAGATGTTCATAATTTTATTACTTATATTTATTCTCAGATGTTCTAGATGCTTTCTTATTTATAATTTCTTCAAAAAATGCAAATTGTCCTACCATAGCCCAGCGCTCAGATCACTGTGGCTGTGGAAAGACCGTTTGGTAACTTTTAGCATTCAGCAGTTCAGATGTAGAAAATATTCTCTTAAGAATTATTGTGGAAACCCTAAAGAAAAGGTTTTAATAATATGTTTCTTCAAATATGGCATGCAGTAAAATAAACATGTATTTTAGCTCAGACATTCCCAAGATTGTTGCATACTGCCAAGAGTGATCCAAGATTGTTGTACATATTTTCAATTTGGTTATTTTCCTTTGTTTTGTATTGTATTGAGACAAGAATTGGAGAAGCCAACAATCACTTGCTTTTATTGCTACATTAGTATAATATTTTATCACATGTTAACTTCATATTATGTCTTACATTATCTAGGCTAAGACTGGTTGATTTTCAAAGACATTTGGATTTTGAAAATGTAGTACAATCAAACCTGTACTTACAGAAAATGATACCACACAATGTAATATCGATGTTCTTCCATAATCTCTACATAATGACCACCTGGCCATTATGACCACTTCTTGGTTGTCCCTTAGATAATTTTTCCTATTGGCATAAGAATATTGTCTATAATGAGCACCTACCATCCACATAAATCATATTTTATTGGTCCCCTGAGTGATCTTCTTAGACAGGTTTGACTGTAACTGTTTCATACCAGTATCTCTGCCATTTTGAAATACAGGTATGTAGCAATAGCATAAAGTATAAACAACATGGTCTACCTGTAGCATGTGTGACATATACACAGCATCAAGTGGAAATACTTGTCTCACAACCAGCCATGATTGAGATTCATATATGCAGAAAGATCTGTATATTGTAAGATTTCAATTGATTAAAGTTATTAAAGTCTTTTTATCAAATGCATAATTTCAGTTTATTTCGCACTTAAAAACAAGATGTAAAAATACAAATACAAGAAAATATAAATGAAATGTAAATATAAATGGAAATATAAATTTAATAATAAATGGAAATATAAATTTAATAATCGCATTATTATTAAATTAATACAAACTTACATTATGTCACTATGCATGAAAATTTAAGTGATGGAGGTTACCAGCTTTCATATTGCTCTTCAAGGCTGCTGGGCTACCAGAGAGCATTTGGAATGTTTGGGCCACTTGGGCCTAATTCATTGTACTATGTATATTATTGTGTGCAGTCTTTGGGCCCCCTGGCAGCTTAGTCTGGAACTGCAGAGGCAGTTTTATCTTTGAAGGAGGATAACTCGAGAACTGGTTGATGCATGACGGATCGTCGTGATTTTAGGTATCTAGGTGATTCTTGACATAATTAGATTACAATTATCAAATTAGGATGTAATCTGCATAATTGACGAGGAAAGATACGTGGAAAATCGTCTTTTTCGTACAAATTCTGGTTGACGTTGATTCGTGGAAAACTTGTCACGACTTCTAGACATTCCTTGGAAGGATGGATGGATGAAGAACATCTGTGTAACGTTATATGACGACTAGAAAAATACAAGGATCAATTTCAGACCTGTGCCTTCCATAACATAGTACATTAAAAATGGATTATGACAGGAACATCCAGCCAACACAGTAGAACAAAATTTTCACAAACACCGGATTGTCCACAACCATATGCATGTCGCGTAAAAACTTCGTCAACAGATAGATATTAGACTTCGACATGGCAGTACTTTTTATTGTCAACCTAGTTTTCTATTCCATCTAAAAACGTAACGTTACATGTGTTGAGAACTAGGTGAGGCAGCGTTCCGAGGAGTAAGGGGCTTTGCAATGAAAACTGTTATGACGACGACGACAATGTTAAGTAGTTGGTGGTATTGAACAGGAGTACCATCCCTACACGCGTACATCTGCCAGTCTAGAAAAGTGGCGTACTCCTGAACCGTTGCGTCGGAGCCGACAAGGGGAGGGAACACAGCCACTCATATTGCTCCACAAACATGCCTTCACTTTGTAGAGGTGATCTTTCAATACGACTTTGTAGCCGTCAAGTCGTCATTGAACATTTTGTCGCCGCTTATAACATCCCTATAATAGATTCCGGCTGAAAAATGTGGACACAGAACATGAAGAAACAGCACCAACAGCACTGGAGGTCGTGGGCCCATCTTGTGTGTGAGAGAGTGCGAACCTGCGAGCTTTGTAAGTCAAACTCTCTGAGCAGGACAGATGGAGCTGCAAAACCCGGAATGCGACGTGTACACACAAACAAGTACGATGCAACAACAAAAGGGTCCAGGACTACATCTTTCTCGGGTAGAAGTTCTGTCTAAAATGCTAGAAAACCTGGATGTGCACAATCCATTAATGAGCTGAAAACAATTCAAGGATCAACAACAGTCAAATCCAATCGTAAACGTTCGAACACAAACGAAGTAAAACTTATATTCATTGTGCAATTTGACCTTTATCTCGATTACTCATAATGAGATTCCCAGAGTTTCTGCACCAATTATGCAAATTAGGTACTAATCTACATAAAGTTTGTGACCGTGAGGCAAGTGGAAATATAACTGGTAATCCTCTTCTGTTCCGCCAGGTGACGCATTTACAAAAAGCCGGACTCGTTTTCAAGTTTTCCTGATTTTGAAGTTTTGAAATTGTACAAGTTGTCATCTATGAGATGCAATTTACCAATTTATAGTGTAAAATGGTGTCCACTCGTGTTTTACTACTTGTTGTTTTGGGGTAAAAGACAGGTACACCAGATGTCCTGGTCAGGACCTGTACCTAACGTCAATTTTTTTTTCGATATTGAACAAATCCGTGAAACCCAAGACCTTTGATCCTTTTCACAGACTACGATGTGGTCATGAATCAAATGATTTTTCTTCTAATCCTATATATAGGGGATGTTTAGGTCGCACAGAATTATTTCTGCATGGTAGAAACTGCATCACCATTCAACAACATCACCTTACGAAAGTCGCCTGAACTACACCCAATCTTGTTACAAATATCTTTTCTTTTTTTTTCTTTTGGCTTCTACAATACCTCAGTGAAAATGGAGGTATTAAGAGGCCCAAAATATACTTTTCTTCCTTCTTGGGGTGGGATGAAGTGATTTTAGACCATACCAAAAAAACTGGTAAGGAAAAATACATTAGATCAACATATTGATTACTGTTTTTGTTTGTTTGTTTATTACAGTCATATATTATTGCCTGTGTCAACTACTCGCTGGAGGATGACTTACAAATAGCCTATGATCAGAAGAGCTTGTTTGGCAATAACTCAGGTGACCTCAATATTACAGTTACCGAGGTGCTGCCATCAGACTAAAAGGTTTTGAACCACTCACACTGCAAAGGATCCCAACCTGGTACAATTATACTTATGTTTTTGAGCCAAATTTGGTATAGATGCAGCTTAGGAAAAGACCCTAGGACCATTTTTTCAGATACAAGCTTTCAAAATGATTTTATGAACATTTTAACCAAAGTAGCATATTGGACCTGTCCTTGGTGCTGAACACCAGCCACAGTGGCTTGGGAATACAACATGCTCATATAGGTCATTTTGGTGCTAAAAAAATGATTTCTTGCTTTGTGGACAAAAGAGCCAAGGCTGTCATACTAGCTGGTGGTTATTACAAATGGCTAACCCTGCTGACAATATAAGTATTTATCATTTATCATTATTGTTATATTAATGATAACAATATATGAGTTATAATATAGTTACATATGGATGATTTGGTCTTACTTTTGGAATGAAGTAAAAAGAAATTGAATTGACCAAAGTTGACCAAAATGTTGGCAGTAGTTCCCTGCTGTTGTTACTCAACTGATGCATGCCACTGGAAAGGGTTGCACGCCTTAAACCTTGGCCCACTGTTCTTGTTGTAGAAAAGAGCCAGGGGAATTTCCCAGATACATCATGAACCTGTAAATACTGTACACAGTGTCCATCTTGTCTGTTATGACCAGTGAAAGATTACATCAACTGTTCATTGGGCAAAACTGTTCAGAGACCACTTTTTTCACTTTCACTTTTGCAGACTAGTTGTCCCAGCCTACTTACTTTCAAAAGAACAATGTAACTGTGGCTGGTTACTACAATGATTAATGACAAGGCACCTCCAGATAGTAGGTATTATTACAGCAACAATGATTTTGGCACGCACACCCCTACTATCATGCCATTGTCACAGCGATTACCCTAGATTCTTTGTGAAATT